GGCAGACGTGCATTTACTCATCAGGCCTGTGGATATAGGAAGGAAGGAACACATGTCTTTAGACCGCGTCACAAGAAGACAAAGGTCTTTAGATCTTTGTTTTCTTGGTTACCTCTTTTCAGTTTAGGAAGTCTTTACTAACCGAGCAGAACTATAAAATGTTAATATTAAGATTAAATATATAATTCATTAGGTAATTCATAAAATAAAAAACTTTATTTTCCAAAAGAAATTAATTTCATTAAAATTCAAAACCCGACAAACAAATTTAATATTGGATTATTACAAATTATGAAATACAATAATAATAAAAAAAAAAGTATTTTCAGAAAGGAAAAAACTAATGATTAAAAATTAAATTATACTTGTTAAACAACCTTTGAAGAGGCTTTGGGGTTCGGAAGTAAAAAAAAACTGTTCCATCTTCAAATTTTCTATACAGAGATTTGATTATTTTAGTATCCACGCCCAACCGCTAGGTTTATCACCCACAGGATTGCACAGATGGTTAGTAACTGTAGAAAAATATATGACGAGAGAAAAAAATTGATGGCACAACCACGCTCTGAATTCTAAATTCTGGTATTATCAATGCGTGTGAGTGTTTCTACATCGAAAAATATTACATACCTATGTGCAAGCGTTCGTTCCATCAGGCTGTAGGAGTCGAGAAAAAAACAAATTATATTACCGTTTTTACTGGATTCATAATCAGACGTCAACCGAAGATCATCCTCCTTCATCGACATTACTATCCGCCCTTTACTATCAAAATAGCGACCGAAAAACCTGCGTTGCCAAAGACTGAAGCGCCTAAACGAATGAACCGATTTCAATGAAACTTAGCTAAAGTCTTCTTCTTGATGCCCTTTAAATTTATTTATATAACATATTTCAACGAAAAGAAGCTGGAAATAAAGTTACGAGGGATGGTAAAATTAGATTCTTAATAACTCCAAAAGTATACACTTTTTTGCCGATATTTTATATGGTTTTTTAAATGTTTTCGAAATTTCCTTTAAAAAAATCGTTAAAATCGAACAATTAGGAGCAAAGATATGGTCTCTAGATGTTTTTTATGTTCTTTGTTTTGGATTTTGGTTTTTAAATGTGTTACTGAAGTAATGTATCTTTTTTTTAGCAAATTACTAATGATGAAAAAAAATGTTTAGGCAAATAATTATAATTAACTTTTTATTTGTCGCTAGAAAGATAATGTTACTTTATATGTATAATTGTTGGAAAATGATAAACCATTGTGAAATAATTTGCAGCCTTTTTTTCCTGCGATTAACTAAAGCATTCAGAAATTTTAATGATGTTTTCCTAATTCAACGACACTATCGTTAGAAAGCCGAATCACTATCGTTACAAAAGAAAGAAAAATATCTTTCGATTGCAATGAGAATTCCTCATAACTGTTAATAGACGTCTGGTTTGTTTCAGATGTGGTTTATAACATTTACAAATTTCATAGAAGAAGAACAAACTCATGAAATTACTCATTTAACATCTGTTAAATAATTTATACAGTACCTTTATTTATTTCTAAATTGCAGAGGAATCTTTCCAATACAATCATCAACAGTTCAAAAATCATGATTTATTTTTAGATATAGTTAAATCTTTAACATACAAACGTCTATAGCAATTATTCTTAACAAAATTTGTTCAGAGTCTGAACTTAACTGAGATCGAAGTTTAGAGTATAATGTTCAACGTAGTGGAGTTATTAATGTACGAAACTATTGTAATTTATTTCTTTTCTAAAACAATATGACAATTTTAATGAATTGAAATGTATGATTATGAATACACTTTAATAATTGGGGAATTTAACAGGGACGTAATATTTATTTTGTGGATAAAAAAAAAGAAAATTTTTAAATTGGAGGGAGATGTTCCTATAAATTTCTTAGATAGTTTAAAATTAAAATTCATTTGTTGATGCACTTAAACGTTTGATAAAGCAAAGAGCTCTAACAATTACAGCGAAGTGTATCAGTACACAGCTGCGACTTGACTGAGGTCAAAGTTCAAGATGTAAAGTCCAACATTCAGAGCAGAGGTTCTGTATAAATTTAATTTTATTTATTTATTTTCTGACAAAATAGGAGATTTTTTTTAAATTTAATTCCTTTATTGTATGTACATTTCATCGATACAAATTTTAATTACCTATATGAAAAATTACCATTTTTCAATCCTGCATCCTAGCGATTGTAATTCAAGTTAAATAATTTTTAAAGAGCGAATACGAAATCTTCAAACATTCATAAAAGCACATATTAGCGTGGAAATTAAAATATCCTCGTTGTTTTGGATGAATTGATGAGGATATTAGAGTATTTTTTTCGTTTCCTGAAAAATGGTTTCATATTCAATATTCAGCATTTGCATCAACGATATACACACTAATACTTGGGTAAGTTAACAGATCGTAATGTTTATTTTGATTTAAACTTTACCTTATTTCTAAATTATAGTAATATGTTTCCATTACTTTCTTGAAAAGTGTAACACGCATAATTAATTTGTAGATAAAGTTAAACTTTTTACATGCCATATCAAAAAGCTATAACAGTTATTGTGAAGTGCATCGGTTCAGAGACTATATGCTAAGATCGAGGTACATTGTTTCTGACACAAGGTGTAAGGTCCAACTTTCAAAATAGTGAGGTTAATATTAAAATTTATTTATTTTGTAACTCAATAGGATAATTTTAATAAATTTACATTCGTGATATGTAAATGTACATACATACATACATTACGAATTAGTAAAATTAACAGGTCGTAATATTTATTTTATTATTTGAGTAGCGATAATTTAAAATTTTAAAAATTTAATTACATTAATTTGCCTTCTATTAATGAACGTCCGTTGTTTCCTTGACTGATAAAATCAAATAAGTTATTTCTAAAATATATTCCAGAGATATTTTCTTAGAGCACAAATGAACATACCAATCTACCATATATATTCGCTTATATTGTACAAATATTCAGAATCAGCACAAAGACATATTTATATAATCAATGCTGGTGAAAATTACTTTTTTTATCACACATCATTTACATGTTTTCTTAGGATCTAATGCAGCATTGACCTCGAAAATTGAGAAACGATGCTGATCATCGTATTTCTCACCTCGGAAAACTCTTAAATACGAATTTTCATAGCGAGATTTTCACACGAAAAATAATGAATTTCTATCTTTTTTCTTCGAAAATCACAAAAATTGTGAAAACATCGACATTATATCGGCTACAGGAATTATTAATGCCTTAGTATATATAAATAAAAAAAATCCAGCAATAAAATCAAGTCCAAAAATTTATATTATTTGGGAAGTTTTTCTAATTTGTCATAACATTAACAATGAAAACTTCCATTATAATATTCTATTGTTATATTTCACATAATATTAATGCTAAAGTTTCGGGATTCTATCCCATCTTCAGAGTTTTTCTTGCATTATAATTCAGTATCGGTATGTGTGCTCTATTCGTCAAATCTAAGATTTACAATTTCTTCATACCTTATAGCTGAGGATAAACATTACTTAACAAACAATTGGTTAGCTTTAACAACCAACATTAGCTGGTAATACAGCTTTGACTAACGTTTTTCAAAGCTAACTAATTGTTATTTATGTAATGTGTAGTCCCAGCTATAAGGTATGATGAAATTGTAAATTATAAATCTGACAAATAGAGCAAAATTCAAGCTGATTTATAATGAAAGAATAAAAGCTTGGAGAATTGGATGCAATCCCGAAACGTTGAATATTATGTGAAATATACCATTGCCTAATTTACAGGTACCATCTTTAGATTTTGATTATTTCTTTTTTTTTTTTTTAATATAAACAACAATTTTTTTATTTTACAGAAAAAAAATTAATGGAATGGTGTGATCTAGAAATCCATGCATAATAAAGACAGAAATCAATAATATTAAAATATGTTAAATTTATATGAAATATTTTTTTCTCAGCGCAATTACAAGAGCTCTTGAAGACATGGGTCTGATATTTTTCGACCTAGTATCACCAAAAAACGTTTCATTAAAATCGGTGATTGAGATGATAGATACAAAATAATGAAACCATTAGTTCACAGTTTATGTATTTAAAAATACTTTTATAAAAAATCGACAACAAAATTTGTATTTATTCTTGTTTTTCTTCCTCTAGGAAGCTTCGGTTTATATTTTTAAGGTTAAGGCAATTAAACTTCCATTTTTTCTTTCATATTTTTTAATCACATTTGGCGTTCCGAGATAATTTTCCCAATTTCAGAGATTCCTTTATATTTACTTAATGTGGCACCAATTGTCAAAAGTTATAACTGTCATATCTATTTTTATATAATACTTTTTTTGGTGGTACAAATTCATTCCCTATTTTTAACTATACTAACAAAATTATTCCGAAACGTCAGATGTGATTTAAAAAAGATGAAAGAAAAAATGGAAGTTTAATTGCATTAACCTTAAAATTTTTTATTTTTCGGTAATAATGACAATTCTAGTTAAAGGGCTATTCGAGGGACGAAAAACGTATAACAACTGTTTCATCCCCAAAAAATTAGGAGGCTTCTGAATTTTGATTCAAATTAAAAAATTTGAATCCCAATGGGATCAGGATACTAAATAATGAATACTAAATATATTATTTTTGTTTTCAGATCGAACTGGAACTACATACTAAACTTGGTTTTTGTAATTATATTCTTGATATTTTACTCTTTTTAGACTTAATACTTCCTCTCCTATAATGATAATAAACTTAAGATAATATATCATTTATAATTTTAAATTGATTTCATCAATCATCGTTTTTATAGTTAGTTAAGAATCCAAATGTATCTAAATAAACTTTAATTACGCATGAACTTTTCATTTCTCATTTGGCAGGCAGGTCAAGTAGTACTTCCATGAGCCAATAGAGTGTTCTGCTTGCTTCCTTCTGGTGGCCTCCGCTAGATGGCAGCTATACCAATACTATCATCGCCTCACAACTGTTTATTTACATGGAGGTTGCAACGTGATATTACTGTTACTCCTCATGGAAAAATGGAAATTTTGACTTAAAAGTATGCTACATTGGATGTTAGATGGAGGCCGAAAATACAGAACCACACTATGTTCTCACAGGCAAGGTTGACAATGTTAAGAATCTAACTCAGCTCATAAAATGCATCAATTTTAAAGAAGTAGCTGTTTTCTTTGCAAGCAAAAATGGAATAAAAATAGTGGTCGAAGACTCAAAATGCGTCCAAGCTTCAGCATTCATTGGTACTGACATATTTACAGAATTTACAATAAATGAGGAGCTGGTAAGTTTCCGCCTGGATATCAATGTGTTGCTGGAATGTTTGTCTATGTTTGACCAAGGAAGTAATCAAGCATCTTTGAACTTGTACTATCGTGATCATGGTTTTCCACTGAGGCTTGTACTTGTAGAAGAAGATGTTGTTACTGACTGTTCAATCAAAACGTTAGAGGCTCTTGAAATTCTTCACTTTGACCCCCCAGGTATATTGACTTTTTGATATCATATTCATTAAATTTAACAGCACTACATATTAACTTAAGTCAAAGGAGGAATAAAATTATAAACTAAATCATTGAGACTCAAACATAAAATAATTTGAAGTAAATTACTAAAAATTAACAACAGGATACTATTCTCCTATGACCTATATAGATATATATCGCTGTTGCCAGCATTTAGTCTTGTATAATTTCATCAAAAAATGTTATATTTAAGATATTTAATGCATGATTGGTTAGTTAATATCATATACATTCCTACATAACGGGAATATTTTTATTAAATGAATGCATTACTTGTAATAACTTAATTTGCCTACTTATTATTTCAAACAATCTTTTTCTTTTACTGATTTAATTTAAAAGATGTTGAAACATTCTTTGTTGAATAAAATTAATAGAAATCATTTGTAGTGGTCTTTTCGGGTTAAAACTTATGCTTTCAATCAATTCAAAATAATTCTACTTGGGGGGATCTATGGTTATTATATAAATTATTAATAAAATAGGTATATCTTGGTCATTTGAATTTTATATCAAGTCTGATGGGCCTGAAAACTTTTTCATAGAGTAGTTTATAGCTAAGATTTCAATATCCTCTGTCATATTTGATCAAAACAGGATGATCTGTTCGAACTCCATTAAAATCAATGTAAAGATAAACTTTTGAATTAATTAACTTTTGGAATAAATTAATAACTTATAAGAAATGGTTTTTTTCCCCAACAAATAAATATCTATGAATCCGTCCATTAGATTAAGTCCACATTACATCTCTTACGGACTGTAAGGACATAATCAGGAAGTCAACATTTCTTACATATACTTTTTAAACTGTTTAAATCTGCTAAAAGGTCTAGAATTATCTTATTCAGAGATTGTCCCATTTCTCAAATGATGCTCTTACCAATGATGTATGCTTCTTCATTGTTTTTTTTTACTATTTCTATCCAAAAAATAAGTCATTAACATTACGTCATCTCAAAATTTTATTTGTAATAAATTCCTTTCAATAGCCTATAGTTTGTAAAATAGAGAGAAAAAATTAATGAATATAACCAGATATTTTTCTTCCTATATTTATTTATTTGATGAATTCCTTTTTCTTATTTAAACATTCACGTTGCCTTGATTTCTGATTCTATAAATTATATTGTTTCCCAACCATTCTTCATAAGCTTTTTCTGAAATAGGTGAAAGGGTCTATAACAAGATGATAGCTGATGGAAGCGGTCTGAAGGAATTTTTTGCTGACTTGGACAGCGGCTCAGAATACCTGGACATTCAAATGTCAAAAACCCAGCCCAACTTCATCATCAGAACAGAGAGCACTGCAGGGCGTTGTGAGGCGAGTGTAAGTCAGGATGCCGAGTGGATCGAAGAATTTGTCTCGCACGGACAATCCTTGAGCAGGTTTAAACTGACACAGTTCAAGCCTGCTATTAAGACTATTCAGGCAGCAAAAAAAGTATCGTTCCAACTATCCAGAGAAGGTCTCTTGTGTTTGCAGTTTGTCATAATGACTGAAAGCAAGCAGCTCTGTTATATTGAGTATTACTGTACCCCTGTGATCATCGACGATGATGACGATGAAACTATTCTTTCCCAGGAGTTTTGATGGGAGCACTTACATCTGATTGGTTCGCATTATGTAATAATTGTACTATATTTGAAAACTTCAAGAAATGTGAAATTTGTTATTACAAAAAGAAATATTATAGCCAGACAAATTTTTTTTTTTTTTTTTTCCTGGAACATTTTTTTATAATTAAACCATTGAATTCTTGGTTGTTATTGGTATTTTTCACAGTATGTTTAGAATCTCAGTTTGTACTTTTTTTAAAGAAAATTAGTTTTTCTCTTTCTTTGTGTATTTTTTCAAGTAAAATATGTTTTAATGAAATTAATCAATTGTAAATATCTGTACACTTGTCCATAAATAAATTATGATTTAGCTTTAAAATGTATTCGTGTTTAATTATTTATTTATTTTTTTTTATGAATAATGTAAATAAATTATTCTAATTACATTTTATTGAAATGATGTATTTACTTGTTTCCTTAGTAATAATTCTCAACCCTGTTATAATCCTTATCATACTTTTTATATTTTTTTCTTGTTAATGATTTCTCAAATTTATCAAAAAATTAATTTTCATTTATTTAACTATCTTTTTTTTATTTAGACATGTGTATCTCATCTTATTGAGTAATCATTTAGTTAACAAAGAATTTTTTTTTATTTAAATTTTCATGACGATTATCATAATTCATTATTTTTTATTGCTCAAGGTATGTAGATGTCTCCTAGGATATTTTGTTGTATTGTAAATTTCAGAAAAAAATTGTCTTGGAATATGGTTAGCCACATTCCAGATCAGTTAAATAAGAAGTACAATATTTTAGTTCCAGAATAGTTAAGCCTTGGAGTATCTTAGATAGAGTTGAATTCATGACTACATTTACTATAAACTCACCAAATGTCCAAAAATATCATATCAAATATAATCTGTCAAAAGATATTTCTTATTCTTCTTTGTTTTTAAAAATGAGGAACATATCAAAATTTTTCATGTCATCGTTAACTTAATCACAATGAACCATGATTCATATTTAAATAGCATGATGCAGAATTACATTTATTTGACTTATACATTCTATGCAACAAATAATGATAAAATCATACTATAAAATATTTGAAAATATATAAACATAATTCATATTTTTTAATAATTTTGTGACTATTTGATTATGGTTTCTTTTTTCATAATTAATTTTGGATTGACACCTGTTTAATGTTTTGAAAATCCTATTCCATAATCGATAGCTTCGAAAATGAAGTAATAAAAAAAGTGATTTGATGCATTTAAAATAAACAATTTTTACATTTTTCATATATATTTATTAATTTAATTTGCCATTTATAAAAACTTTTATGATTTCCAGGCCATATGTTTTTTTTAGTAAAAGAAATTTGACATCCAAGATACTGAATACTATTTTTTTTATCATGAACTAATAAGGTAGAATCAAAATAAATGATCATTTAAATACTCTATTTTATTTTATTCCTTATTTTTCAATTTGGTCATCAAAAGTTCATAGTTAAGTACAACGAATTTAGTTTTCTCTGGTCGCGGTGACCCAATAATATTTCATCGTGATGGACACTATATAAAAACAATGTTCCTCTGATAGATGAATTGGATGACACTCAAATCCAAATAATCTTCCTATTTTTTCTAAACAAAGCTTGTATTCTTTATGAGAACCTTAGCATTTATGCTACCTATACTGTACATAAATTATATTTCTTGATATGCATTCAATTAGCAGATGCTACTTTACATGAACCATACTGAACTTGAAAACCGTACTGATATGGCTATTGCAGATCGGTAACAACCCTCCTACCATATATACCTGTTGTAAGCTACCCCATAAATTATCCCTCATAAGGAAGAAGCCAACTCACGCAGTTACATACTCTGGGTTAAGCTCCCGAGGCTTTTGAAGTCTGTTCTCGATATGATCGCCGGTTGGGTCATAATCGAATCAGCCTGGGATGATCCCCTGATTTATGAGCTAAAGTTGGCAGGAGCTAATGCGGCTTTGTCTGTTCTAGGCCGCTGGGTCTTTTATAGTTGGCCGCTCGTCGATCAATCACGGGCCTTTTGTAAGTACATCACTATGGCGGTCAGCAGGTATTTTGTTCCCGGTGTTTGCCACAACCTTGTTACATGTTTCCATCCTCCGACAAAAGGGAACTCTGTCGGGCAGCTTGTTCCATAGTTGGTATCCGATCGTGTTGTGCTTGTTTGGTAGAATTGGAAGGGGAACGAGTTCAACTACACTAGAATACAAGATGGACGGAACGAAGCTTAAATCTTAACTATTTCTAGGGTACTTTGGTTACTAAAATGTCTAGGAACTTCAAAATTAAAAAAAAAAAAAGCATGATAGCGAACTCCACTGACGAATCTACGGGATTTTTTCATTGGTCCGTATAGTTGTTAGTGACCTAGACTAGGGGTCTACAAACTACGGCCCGCGGCTCGCGAAAGTTTCTTTGATAAGAATAGAAAATTTGAAAAACTATTTAAAAATTTGAAATTTAGCAAATTAATCGCACACGAGATTACTACAACATTTATTGCATGTTTTTTTTTCTCTTAGAAAGCTCGCTTCACAACTGAAGTGACATTTATAAAACGATATTTTTTTCATCACTAGCCGTGGCCCGCGGGATTTCGTTGGAGGCCTCAATGTAGCTCGTGGAAGTTGGTCTAAGTCCCAATATGGCCCGTTAGCCAAAACGTTTGGAGAACTGAGCTATAATACTTGAACAATCACAAAATGCTCTGTTTTTAGACTTATAATGTATTGAGCTGTTAAATAAAACCATGTTTTATAAAAAAAAAATATATTTTAAATTATCTCTAAAGTGTTATTGTTAAGGTGATGTTTATTAAATTATTTTTTTTTTTTATACGGTTTCAATAAATACTTTAAAATCATTTCATATTGGTAGTTATTTTCTTTCTTTTTCTTCCAATGGAAATACCGTTATATATGTATAAAGGAAAAACTTTTTGGCTGAAGTCCATCCCAAAATTTTATTTTGGATCCGTTACTGGCAGCTCCATATTTGGAGTTCAGAACTGTCGATGCTTACCAGTGAATAAACATAACAGTTAATGAATATGTCAAATTTGAAAATAAAATGCAAAGAAGAGAGGGGAGATAGTCCCCTCGAACACTAATATAATATAATAACCATAATAAAATCATAAACAGCACCGGTTCGAATTTAGCATGAGAGGGTTTATTTTATCTCTTGACAGACACGCGAAACATATCTCGATCTATAATCAGAACCAGAGAAAGGGGTATAATGGCATTTTTAGAAAAAATAAATAAAAATGAGAAAAGGATATATGGCTGATCTGGAAATTTGTCAATTTATTTCGTAGTTAAGACATGTACGTGTTCTGTCTAATTAATGCTGCGTTATAGTTTGAAATCGTTTAACCCCCAATCAAATGTTAATTGGGCTTAAGAAATAAAGAGATACAAACCAACATTTAGGTAAATTAATAAAAAATATGCTATATTTTAAACAATGATTACTTTATCAATCATTCGCTGAAAAATAAACTGATTAGTGTTACCACCACTTACTAAGGAGCTCTATACCGGGGCATAGGCGGATCTCCGTGGGAGGGAAGAGGAGAGAGAGGGCTTGCGGGCTGAAGACCCCCCTCCTCCAAAATGGTAAAATATAACCATATTTTACATTTAAAAAATATTAAAAACTATCTCTTAAAGTATTCTTGTTCGTGTAATTACATTTAATAGGACTTCAAGGACCACTTAAACATAATTTCATATAGATAGTAATTTATTTATTTTTTTCAAATTAATTATCGTTATATATATATATATATATATATATATATATATATATATATATATATATATATATATATATATGTGAAAAAAAATATATTTCGGGCTGAAGTCTCCTCCAAAATTAAATCATGGATCCCCCAGTGTACCGAGATATTTTTTTTTTTTTTTTTTAAGATACCTCAAAAATAAATCTGCACCTGACACTAAATGATCTAGGTTCGCCAAGAGTTGAACGATACAATACATTAATAGTTAATATAAAAAAAAAATACTCTTTAATAATTTTTTAAAATAATAAATTAGGATATATTTCAATAGTATTACTTATTAAAATAGTTTATGATTTCACTTATTTGGTTTGACATAGTTGTTAAAAAAATTTTGGGATAAATCTGATTATGGGTGCTTCTGATTCAATTAAGATTAAATATATTTTTCATTGAAAAAGTTTGTTTAGAGCCTAAACTTCAATTAGAGCCTTGTTCATGTCACTATTCCTCATTACGTCTTTGGCAAAGTTTTATCTTAGAATCAGTGGTAAAATATTTTGTAATTAAAACACCTTCAAACGTTAAATTGAAGAATGAAAGAAAAGTAAGTATAAAATTGATAAATTTCATTAAAACACTTTCAATTTTTAAACTCGTTTCACTTACAATTAAAATTCAACAAACATAGAAAACTTGTCACATGAATATACGAGTTCACAACATTATTCGCAATTTTTTTATTCTTAAAAAGGATTTAAATGGTACCTGGCAATTACTTATAGAAGAACTACACCAAAATAATATCACCCATAGATTTTATGCTTCTTTACAAATAAATTACAAATAATGTTGGTAGTCACATTATTTTATATTAAATATTCATATTTTTATTATAATCTTTTCATTTTATGTCAATCGTATTTCCAGTTTTATTTCACACCTGTTTTTTAGTTAAGGAGATTGGTATAGGATGTATTCACCGATTTTTCTTATAATAAAGATGAATAGTTCTCTACGAAAACATATATTACTAGTTGGTCATATAGACTAATTTACATGGTGTATTATATATTATACTTTTATATATATTATACTACGAGTAGCTTGATGTCTTTGTGGCGATACTGTTATATCTGTCAGCGTGCTGCCAGGCTTGGAGTATCGATACTCAATTAAAAAACTGAAGAGGATCCCATTATTTATGTTAAAAAATAGGGATCGAAACGTTTTTCAATAAATGGAATAAACAGAAGATGTTTTAAGTCATCTAAGTGTATTTCATGACCTATTATCCGACTATGATTCATATATTAAGTTATATACATAGACAACATAATACAGAAATAAGTTAGTTCAATGTGTTATGAGATAGAGGAAATAATTTTCTTTTTCTCAGTCGAATCACTTTAGTTCATTTATAATAAT